CTTTTCACCGTTTTGGATGCAGTAATGGTTGCCCCGTCCATCTGGATTGAAGTTATGGTGCAGAGTCGGGTTGGCAGAAACTTCAAGCATTTCTGTTTTCGTGAGGTTCAGCTGAAGATGATAATCTTTCATCCAGTGTGAAATGTCTGACAGGCAGGCTGAGATGCGAGCTGGAGCCGAGGGATCATCAGGGTGAAAAGAGAGGTATAGCTGGGTATCATCAGCATAGCAGTGGTAGGAGAATCCATGATCGGGAATTTCCCTGGTGGTCAGTATGCAAATATTTTATTAAATTATGTAAATTATAATTTTACATCACTTTTCTACATTGATGGGTAAGTGACCGCACAGGCATTACAGACGAAGAGCTTGTGTTTGTGTGCATGTACATGTACTATCCACCCTCCCTGTTTAATTTGATCTAATTGTCCTGAAACACAGCTCCTCTCCTGCTTACACTTCCCATTCTGACGGAGGGAGCGATTTGTTTGTGAATGAATCTCCGTTGTAAGCAACTAGTTCACTTAGCTGACAATAATACAAGTGTCTGGCAAGTTTCTGTTTGCTGATATTATTCAACTAAACAAGCATAAGTCCAGTATTTAGTGTGAGTTGGTTCTACTTTCCTTATGGTCACTGCAGTAAGAGATTGTATTATCATCAATGCTTGTTGAGCACAAAAGTTCATAACATATAAAAATGTAAAAAACAAAATCTTCCCTATGAAATGTTCTGCCTTTGTGCTCTGTTTTATTTGTTTGCTCATTACTTACACCCGTACACAGTGCTAAAGTCCAGCATCTTCACATTGGCTTTAGTCTTGACCAGTGCTGTTGAATGACTTTTGTTCTGGGAGCGGCAAATGTGGCGGCGCTATTGACGTATGCTCAGGGTCATTATGTGATATCTTGTGCATATATCTATAGATGCAGACTTGAGCGCAAAAAAATCATGGGTGGGAAAATAATAAGCTTGTGCTTAATCTCCCTCCATTTCCGACCATGTTGAAATGTATTGTTTTGTTAAAGATATTTTATGCATGATATTCCTGTCTAACCCTCTCAAGGCAGGCGTTGCAGATTTGAACAGGTAAAATTAACTACCTTATTACTCCACATACATATTTGTGGGTTTTTTTACTCAGAAGTACCTCTGCAGGACTTGGTTGTCCATTAGCAACAAACAGTTTCCCCACTTGCACAGCAGATGACACAAAAGACAAAAACTGCTTCTTGGAGTACCACGTGACAAAGTGACTTGGAAACATGACCTACTCAATGACGATTTGAGATATTGGATTTGGATCCCATGTTGTTTGTTGTTGTTCTGCTACAGAAAAGCAATTTGTTACATTGTTTGAAAAGTTGTATATGAAAAGTTATTGTTCATATCATATTCAGCCGTCAGCATCTAATTACCACACTGAGCCAATGTTGCAAATCAGCAACATCCCAGAACGCTTTGCATGTGAAGGTCTATATGATAACTTGTCCCCAAATTTCCTATATCCTGTTTCTTAAACTTAATTTGAGCCTGAGAGGGCTAAAAAATAAATCAATCAAATCAAAACTAAACCACACAAAAAACAATTCACTTAATCTCATCTGTATTGCATTTAAATCTAGTTATTTATTTAAACATACATCTTCTCTAAGGGAAGGCTTCTATTGATGGAACTCACCTGTCATTAGTTACCATAACTCTATTATTATTATTATTATTATTATTATTATTATTATTATTATTATTATTATTATTATTATTTTAAATCAATTTAGGTCAATATATGCACATTTCAGAGGTGGTGCACATAGGGGTGTGTTTCTCGGCACTACACCGGTCTCCACTAGCCATGGGTCGGTATATTTTGGAACAGTGAACATGTCAGGTTAAATAATTAACTTCCTTATTTTTAAAAACGCAGATTTCTTTACTATTTAAAACAGGATATCTTTGTACAGTTGTACAAATGTACAGTTTTTTTTACTTTAAAACTTTAACAGATTGCGATTTTTCCTAATGATATATGATGTAATACATTTGTATTTTAAAATTGGTCTTGTTTTAATTTTTTTTTTATTGCAATGTTTTTTAGGAAATATTTTTAACATTAAAAAGTGTGGAGACATCTGACTTACTAATCCAGCAAAAAAAGTACTACTAAAAATATCACTAAAATCTGTGACATTTGATTTCATAGTTAAATAGACACTGAGGCGTATAACTGCAAAAAGCTCCACCTTTTGAGAAAAAAATAACCTCCGCTTTCACCAGGCTGGCTACGGGCCTGATAGTTTACTGATGTTTTCTTTTCATCTGTGAGTTGCTTTGGCTGCTTGTTCTATTGGTCAAACACCAGGTGGCGCTCTTCTCCTACAGTAAAACTGTGTGCCTGTACTGAGTGTGTGTTTTCTGCTGCTGGAGAAAGTGCACAGTGCTCTGATAAGATGGACAGACTCTGATAACGCTTAATAAATGATTAGAAACCCATCAGAGAGATGAAACGTCCTCTGAGAGCCACAAGGAGATGATTTACGCTCTAATTCT